TAAATACCTCAAAATTATATTCAATGTGAATGGACTGAATTTTCTAATTAAAAGACAAAGGGTCAAATACGATTTTTTTTTTTAACCAGCTGTATACTGATTATAAGACACAACAAAAGCAAAGTGAATTGGGTAGATTGAAAATAAAGTAAAATAAAATAGATCAAGAAAGTACTAAATGAAGGAAATTTGGAGTAATTATACTAATATTAAATAGACTTTATGATAAAATATAAGAGCAGAGGGTCAGTACAAGTAAAGTTAGACTTTTTTATGTCTATGCACATACCAAAATAGCCTCAGTTAAAAACAATAATCCTTAGAAATGCAGAGGCAAATTGAAGTTTTCATTACCGTGGCAGGTTTCAACTTCCTTTTCTATTAAGTCAAAAACAAAGAAGTAGAAGATTTGAATAACACATTTTAATAAGATGGGTATAATGAACATATATAGATCTCTGCACTCTAACAGAATACACATTCTTGTGAAGTTTATAAAAATTGGCAATTATTACATGTAAAAAGCAAAAAATTGGTGTGTGACATCAAAATCTCTAACTACAATGCAATTAATTAATGTAGAGGCGAATAGCAAAAATGCAATTTTTGAAATTCACTTTGAAATTTAAAAAACTTGAGGATCAAAGATGAAATAAAGGAAATTTAAATTTATAAAATAGAATTTAGAAAAACTTGTTATGAAAATATATATAAATGTGTGGACAAAACACATGGAATACCCAAATTTTGAAAAATTAATAAAATTACATTAATTTCCCTAATTCAAAACTTACTGTAAAGCTACAGTTTTCAAGACAGTATAGTAAAGGTGTAAGTGGACGTATATAGATCAGTGAACAGAATCGGAAGTCCAGAAATAATTAACATTTAGAGTAAATTGTTTTTCAACAGAGACACAAAGCAATTCATTGAGGGAAGGATTTGTCTGTTCAACAAATAGTGTTAAGACAATTGTAAATCCACATGGAAAAGGATGACCTTAGATGCTTACTCCTACCTTAGAAAAAGTCACTAAAAATGGATCATAGACTTAAATGTAAGGCCTAATACAAACTTTTACAAGAAAACGCAAAACCCCTCTCAGACCATGGGTTAGGCAGAGATTTCTTAATGACACCAAAAGAATGCTTCGTAAAATTAAAAATTTGGTGAATTGAACCTCATAAAAATTCAAAACTTTTGTGCTTCAAAGGACAGAATTAAATGAAAAGACAATACTCTGCAAGAAAGTAATTGCAAAACCTATCTGATAAAGGACTTGTGTCCATATTTTATAAGAACTCTTATCCATTAGTAATAATAAGACAACCCAATCGGAACATGGGCAGAAGATGTGAATAGAAGTTTCATTGAGGACGCTACACAAATGGCTAAGAAGTATATGAAAAGATTACTATCTGTCATCTTGCTATTTTCTGTTTGCCCCTTATTCTTTTTTTCTTAATTCTATTGGATTAATTGAATATATCTCATTTATCTCCTGAGTGGCTTATTAGCTGTACCTCTTCATAGTACTTTAGTGGTTACTTTAGGATTTGTGGTATACATCTTTAACTTACAGTCTACCTTCAAGTAATATTGCATAAAATTTAGTATGAGAATCTTGTAATATAGGGTACTTCCATTTACCCCCTCAAACTCTGTGCTATTGTCATATATTTTGCTTTTGTACATGTATTAAAAACCCCATATAACATTATTACTTTTGAACATTAATATTTAAAGGATTTTAAATAACAAATCTTTTATGTATTTACTCATGTTAATATATACTATTTCTAGTGTTCTTCCTGTCTTTGTGTAGATTCATATTTCCTCCTGGTATAATTTTCTTCTGCATTAAAGACTTACTTGACTATTTCTTGTAGTACAAGTCTGCCAGTGACAAATTTCTTCAACTTCTGTGTCTTAAAAGTGTTTCATGTTCATTTTTTGAAGATATTTTTACAAGGTATAGAATTCTATTGTTACTCAGAGACTCGGAGCCCAGAGACCTCAAACTCTACTAACGGTGGGCTGGCTGCTGTAGCCTGGTGGTTGGGATGGGGTGAGGGTGCTAGCCTTGCCCATGTGCCCGCTTTCCCTTGTCTGTAGAGCATCCTGTATCGGAGAGAGGGCCTTCCTGCTCTAAACCTCCCCATCCATAGACTGCTATTGCTTGTCACTCAGTGCCAAGCTCATGGTAGGAGCAGGCCCTGTTGTCCCAGTTGAGCCTCAGTCCCAGACAGGGCCTTTGTGCTTTGGCTTCAGAGGCGGGGTATTCCCAGCATGACTGTTCTGCCTGGGGCAGACAGACTGCCTTGTATCTCCAGTTGGTGTAGGGTGGTGATTTGCTGGGCCATTCCCAGCCATAGCAAACACCTGTTACCTGTACCTGCTCCTCCCCCAAGAGTAGAGAGTATTTTATATTTGATTTGCTTCTGCCTTTTCCCCAGCAGCACTAAGTATTTGCCTGTGTCCTGGGAGAGGCTGGTAGATTTTGCTTTTGCTGCTTTTCCAGAAACAGACCTCTGCCAGTGTCCTTGTGGCCATAGCATTTGGTTGACCGATCCCAAGAAGCTAGTGGATCTTTGAATGTGTTCCTCTACAGCCAACAGTCACCTCCCCGTTTGCATCAAGGTGGCTTTCTCTGGTTGTCTGCACGCTTCTCATTCCTCATGAATACTGGAGAAGGCCAATGGAGAAGAGTTTTCGGGTGAGTGGGAAGTTCTTTTGTACGTGAGTCCCCTAGCCAGGACTGGCCTCATGGCATGTGGCACACAACGCCACCCTCAGAAGGGCCTCGTGCTTGCTTTACTGCTGTGGTGTCACCATCTTGAATTCTTTAATTTTGAGGAAGAAGTCCTGCCTTTATTTGCATTTTGCAAATAGATTAAATTATTTAAATAATCTAAGACCCACAGACTAATTAGTCCTGTTCCAAAGTGATGCAGTAACCCATGCTTAGCCTTTTAAAATGTTAAAATCTTAGCTGAATTTTCTTTATCTGCCCATATAGCAGCCACTTTTTCTCCCCAGCCCTGCCAAAGGGAAGACTGTCCTGGGTCCTCTGAGTGGGTTGTCCTCTCTAGTTCAGTTTCTATGATTGCTTTGCAGCCGGCACCATCTGAGGGCTCAAAAAAATATCATTGTGTATATCATCCAGCTGTTTCTTGTTGATAGGGTTTAAGAAATGTTCTTTGCAGCTTCCTACATCCCAAGTAAAAGTCCAAAACTGATGTATGTTTAGAACTTCTTATTTTTAGGCTCTCAATTTCAGCCAGCAGAGCAATTAACTAATTAAGGCTAGGCCTCCCCCCCGCCCCCTACCTTTAAAGGGGAATGTCATATTTTACAGTTTCCTTCGGGAAAAGATGGCTTTATGCTTTTTATTTCCTTCTCTCCCCAAAACAAAATACCCCTTAGTTACTGTCATTATAGTGGAACAATATAAAGTGACATGATTTGGTAACAGGCAGCTACCGTATTATTAAATTCAAAAGAATATATGTCCTACATCAGTCCATTACAGTGAGGAAGTTCACAAAGTGAAGCATGACCAGAGATGAAGAGTAGTAAAATTGAGGGAAATTCTCTAAGGATATGTGGCTTGTGTGCTAGAGGTATATAGGTTATAGAGTGTCCTCCTGAGCATTTGGACTGCTTTTTTTAAATACCCAGAATATTCTTTAGTATACCAAGGATGTAGGTCTTTAACATTTTTCAGTTTTACTCTTGCACTGAAGTGGTTTATTAAAAACAAGAAATACACTAAGTTGAAATAGGATTCAAGTTTGTTTTCCCTGGAGCTTTTTTTTTAAAAAAAAAAGTCTAAAGCTACTTTAAACCACAGCAGTATTTTGTCACTGGACAAATTTACAAGTCTGCTCCTTTTTTATCTTAAGCCTGTTATCTTTAAACATTTTATCATGGAAAATGATGAAAAAAATAGAAGAGTTTAAGTTACCCCAATGTACCTTTGGCTTAGTTTTAGTATTTATTCATCTGTATCTCAGTGTACTATTCCCCCTCCAATTATCTTGAAGTATATTTTGACCATAATTCATATATTCTAGTATGTATCTTTAGGAAGATATTCTCTCCCTCCCTCCCTCGCCTAACCACAATACCACCATCACACCTAGAAAAAATGATTCCTTTATGTTTCTTATTTTTTCCAACTTACTGCAGAAGGACTACAGTATAACAGAATAGAAGTATTAACTAAGAACCTAAAGATTTAAGGCATCTCTAGTTCCTTTCCTTAAACTCAGAGGAGGAATTAGCTTTTGCAGCCAAGGAATCAACTTGTCATCTCTATTTTCAGCCTTTTAATTGTACATGCAACTGATAATGTTTTTTATGCTAAAGGAAAATATATTGGCACACAAAGAAATGGCCCTAATGATTTTTGGGTTGGAAATTGGGAGGGGGGAAGAGTGTATTGCACAAATTTTAGGAACTATTTGTTCATTACTGAAATTTTGGCTTTTTAAAAATTTTTTAATGGTAATTATTTTCTGTAGTCAATAACCTTTGAAGTTGATATGGATGAACAGTTGAAAATAGAGCCTGTGAAACTCTGTGATCAGAACAGGTAAATACGAAAATCTTTCTCCTTTTTCTTTTGTATTAGGATTTGCATTTGAGTCTATTTCAAAGACTAATAATGGGAGCTTACTGAACTTTCATAAGGAATCCTAAAAGCTGTTAACAGCTAGAGAAACCAAAGGACCTACCCAGAAAAGTAAAAGTCATCCCTAAGGACAAATTTTTTTTTATATGGGGTATTCCAGAGATGAAGTTAATGATTGAGACAACTTATTACTCATTTTCAAACATGTATTAAGCATCTGCTATACACTAGATACTTCTGGGGGGTAAAAAAGAAAAAAAGGACAAAAGCCTTGCTTTTAAGGAATTATGTGTTTGGGAAAACAAAAACAGCTGTAATAAAGGGGTAGAAGGGAGCGTTGAAGGGCAACACACTGAGGAGCCAAGCTGACCAACCCCTGAGACAGAGCATGGGGAAAGAAAAAGGGAGCGACTAGCACACAGTGAACAGCCTGTTACGCTGTATTTTGAGGCAAAATCATATAAATCTCAAACATTAGTTAAGAACATTAAGTAAAGATTAATCCATACCTACCAAAAAGAACTTTAAAGATGTAAGGAGCTTTGAATATTCTTTTAAAAGTTTTTACTTCTAGAAATAACAGCATAATAAACATTCCAACTTATAAAACTATGAAGAGTTTAACTGAGTTGTGTAATATTCATAGTGTAATTAAAATTGATGAGGCAGGAACTGAAGTCATACGGCTTTTTTTTCTCATTTTCTGATATTTTTTAGAGGGGAGTGGGGAGAGAAAGAAACAGAGAGAGCAACATCGATTTGTTGTCCACTTAGTTATGCATTCATTGGTTGATTCTTGTATGTGCCCTGACTGGGGATCAAGCCTGCAGCCTTGGCATATTGCGATGACACTTTCAACCAGCTGAGCTTAACACAGCCAAGGGTTGATTGGATATATTATAAAATGGCATTCCAAAAATTATTATACACAGAAGTCCTCTTCTAATTCTTCGTGTCCATATATTCCCATGAGTAGCAACATTAAAGTGTTGACCTGCCATGATTTTAATGTGAATCCTTTATGGTCCTGTAAGGTCATGACATAAGTGATTTTATGTAGAACAGGTAGTTCTCATTTTTAGTTGCTTGGCTCTTTTTCTTCCACATTGAGTACAGTATCCACATTTATTCCTATGTCCTGCAGTGTCCTGCAGTGAAGGCTTCCCTCCACTTCCAGAGGCCTTCTGGGAAAGGAAGTAGAAAGGCTGTATAGGGATGTGTGGTACCCAATTTTCAGCATCCAGTCAAATAGAGCCTAAAAGGTAAGAAACATTGTTGTCAGTATTGTACACACTTGTGTCCCTCGGGGTCACCATGATATTTTACAATTCATTCAATGTTAAATGTGCTCCTAGGAATAATGAAACAGAACTTTTACACCTTTCAAAGGAACTTTCTGGAGTGTAAAGAAAAATAGCATGCCATGGATCTTGAGACATGAATAACCTTGAATACATTTTAAGTCCTAGAGACTACTGGCCCCCACAGTCAGCAGAGGCGTTTAACAACCAGCAAAGCCCCAGCTGTAGGGAAGGGAAAGATTATTCAATAAAAAGATTGAGAACAAAAGGCTACCATTTGGGGGGAAAAATGATTTAGATCTTAACCTAAGCCACATCAGAGTCTTGCAGGAACTGATGGATAATGGAACAAAGTTAATACCAGTTGCTTTGAAAGCATCTTACCCACCAAGCTGTGAAAATGAAATTTTCAATAAAGGAAGGGAGGAAAGGGAGGAAGGAAGGAAAAGAAAAATATTTGCAGAAACCGCAGTTCAGAAGGACCCAACATGCCTAACTGCCCAAATTTCTGCACCACAATATAGAGAAATTCCCCGCACCCTCAATATGGAGCACATGTAAGTGATGAGAGTACCAGACAAGAGTGTGATGACACCTCTCGCACTGCATGGGAATAAACTGCCAAATTCAATAAAAATATTTCTCAGAATAAGAATGTCCTCACCTGTGAACTGCAAGACTTTAAAAACCTTCTCCTCAGGACCCTCCCACTTGGACACCGGAGAGCAACAGTAACTACCTGAGGAATAAAAATGTTCAGATAAGAATTCCAATTCACTGCTCTTTGCAATTCCAAAGTTATAACATCTGTAATTCTGAAGCTCATGTGAGGTTTCATAGCAATTTAGTGCTGAGAGAGTAGACCAGCGTAAATTAGGTCCAGATCAAATTCACTCTAAACATAGAAATAATTGAAACTGAAAAACATTTTCCTATTGGTTGAGACCAGCGACAGCCTTCCAGAGGGCACCAGAGACTAAACAATTCTGTCTGCCCAGGTAACATCCAGATTGCAGGTGGGCTTCTCAAGTGACCCACCAAACCAAGAAGATCCAGTGCCACCTCAATCTAGAGACAAGACACACAAGACTGGAAGGAAAAAAAGTTCCCCAGTCCACTCTGTTACTGCGGGCTGTACTGCCCACATCATCTAAGCAAATGAGAGACAAGTTGGTCCTGGTTGCTCAGAGCTTGGAGCCGGCCCGCCCTGGGAGCAGTCCTGCTTTCTCTGCATTAGGTATTAAGTTTCCCGATATTCTTTCCTTTGATAGAACTAAAAATTTAACAGCTAAAATAAGCTTACAGCTGCTAGTATATTAATGGACATTCTGAAAAGAAAATAGAGTGAATTAGTCTTTTCTTCTGATGTTCATTATTTACCCGTCAGGAAGCCCTGTTGTACGGTCTTATCATCACAGCACTCCCGGGAGTTACCGTGAGCGCGGCAGTGCACAGAAATGGCGCCTGTACAGCCGCACCCACCCCCTGCAGGAAGGCAGTGCTAGGAAATATTTCCATGTAGGTGAGGTATTTGACTCACACCCAGATCACCTGAGCTGTTATCACTTCTACTAAAGAAAAGTCTGATAATAAAACATCACAAAATAACGGAATCACAGGTTAAGGGCCAATTTTGCCTATTTTTAGAAGTAAAATTTAACTTTTTTGGTGACTTTTTAAAAACAGTGATCTGATAGGAGAATTAAAGCCAAATGTTTTATAAGAAGCTAGGGTTAAAATACAGTGAATTAAAAGTTTTCCATTATGATTAAATGAAACGAGAGAAACAATTACTGTTTGAAATCTAGCCATTATTCTGTTATTAAAATTATCATGAAAGTTGGTTGTGCAATTTCTCTTAACGTTACTGACAGTGTAATGGACTGACTTATGAATGGGTAAAAGGCCTGGGGCACAATCCAGAATTAGAAAGTAAATCACTGTCACACAGACTGTTAAACGACATCTAAATTAAAAGTAGCAGCAATACTTGATACTTGGTTTCCAGGTACTCCTTAAAATGAAGTAAGTCAGCATGTGGTAATGAAAATAGTTACTGTGGTAATCTGGTAAAATTATATGATGATTTACAAAATTATTTTCAAATTATCTTGAATTCTATAGTTACTGTCTTTTCAACTTAAAAGTAGAATAGTAACATATGGTAAATATTCTATTGTGACTTCTAGACCACCATGAGTTATTTCCTCCTCTCATTTTTAAAGTCTTGCCATATTATTTTAGAACTCTAAGAACAGTTAATACTAAATACATAACAGGCACTAAAGAAATCAAGGTGTTCTACTTAAGAAAGAATTGCACTGCCCTGGCTGGTGTGATTCAGTGGATTGAGTACCAGCCTGCAAAACCAAAGGGTAGCTGGTTTGATTCCCAGACAGGGCACATGCCTGGGTTGCACGCCAGGTTCCCAGTAGGGGGAACACAAGAGGCAACACTGATGTTTCTGTCCCTGTCTTTCTCCCTCCCTTCCCCTCTGTCTAAAAATAAAGAAATGAAATCTTTAAAAAAAAATTCACTTTGTTCCATCCCTCCCTCCCTTATCATAAATCCATGTTAGTCATTAGTTCCCTTATCTATTAGTTTGCTCCTAAATTCAAGCAGGCTTCTACCCTAACAAGAATTTTCTCATATAGCTCATTATTATAGGGTTACATTTATACAGACAGAAATATACATACAGACAGTGAAAGCTTCACCTGGTTCTGATAACCTTTAAAATGAATGCTAATCCCTTTCCCTAGCAATACAGTTATAAAAATGTCCCTCCATTCTGTGGGTGGCACTATACATTTAATGAGCCTAACTTTAATAAGGAAATGCAGAATTTCCTGAAAATTATAATTTCCAGTATTCCCAAGTGAAGTTACTTTTTTACATATGTATATTTACAAGACAGTTACATAGCTTAGGGATAAAAATATACTTGTTATTTTTAAAGTTTTCTTTATTTGTTTAATTGATCTTGGAGAGAGAGAGTGAGGGGAAGAGAAACATACATTTGTTGTTCTACTTATTTATCCATTCACTGGTTGCTTCTTGTATGTACCCTGACCAGGGATAAAGCCCATAACCACAGCATATCAGGATAACACTGTAACTAATTGAGCTACTCAGGGCTAAAATATACTTGTTTTGTTTTATGTATGTATGTATGTATGTATGTATTTTTCATTCCTCACCCAAGGACATGTTTCCATTGGCTGGCTTTTACAGAGATGGGGGCGGGGGAAGGGGGGTCAAGGGTGGGAGGAGAGAGAATGAATAAAGTCATCTGTTTGTTTTGATCTTATTTTATGAATAGTAACTCATTTGCTGACCTGAAGTTTTGGAAAAGCCCATGTATTCTTTTTTTTTTTTTTTTAATGAATATATTGGGGTGGCATTAGTTAATAAAATTATATAGGTTTTGGGTGTGCAATCCTATAGAAAAGCCCATGTATTCCATTTCTGCCTGATGCAGGAGGAAGGCTCTAAGCTCTAAAAAACACTCAGCAGATACCAGGCTTCCAAAGCAGGACTCGAACTGAGGGATTTTATATTACACCACATTCAAAACAAGACCCAATTACAGTGCAGTCACATAAACATTTATGCTATCCTTACTCTCCAACCCAAATTTAGATAAAACACACTTCATGTTAAAGGAAATAGAAAATATGTTTAATTTTCAAAGAAAGAAAATAAGCTTACTTCTTCAGCTGCTTCAGGAGGTTCTTCAGGTAAATCTGGAACCTAAAGAAAAGAAAGTATTAGTAATAGGAATGTAAACATTTTGAAGAAAAAATAATCTCAACAAGAGTTCCTTTCAATATATATTTTAGATACATCTAAGCTTAATGAACTCTTCATTTCATATATGCATGTAAGTGACACTGACAATGAGAGCTCAACTGATAAACATTTTTGGGTAAGCAACTGTGTGCTAGTAAAAGATCGTAAAAATAGGATTTTAGATGACAGCTACCAATCTGTACACATTTGAATAATTTTGTTTTTATAATGTTCCAAGATACTATATAAAATGTACTGTTTAAAAGAAACAGGATAGCCCTGGCTGGTGAGGCTCAGTGGATTGAATGCTGGCCTGCAAACCAAAGGGTTGCCAGTTCAATTCCCAGTCAGGGCACATGCCTGGGTTATAGGCCAGGTCTCCAGTAGGGGGCAAGCGAGAGGCAACCACACACTGATATTTCTCTCCCTCTCTTTCTCCCTTCCCTTCTCTAAAATAAATAAATAAAATCTTTAAAAAAAACCAAACCAGGATAAATATTAAGTTGAGTAAGACCCCAAAATTATTTAGGTTCATACATATATACCTTTTAAGAGGACTGTATATTTTCCTTCACTGGCTCTTCTACAGGACTGGTTAAGAATCATTCACTTTGGTTGCTTTCATAATTTACTCAACTTCCCTATTTCCCTTAGTCTACTACAGACTTTTAATAAAAGTTCAGAACTTTTATTAAAATACTTGTTACAAGTATTCATGTCCAGGGATGCTTTATTTTTTAATATTATAGACTCCATGTTTTATAACATTTTTATCTAGCAAACATTAATTGCCTTGATTAAATAAACCATCTATTTTCCTTTGGTATCAAAAGCACTTATCAGTCCACTAAAATTTACCATCACAAAATAATCTATGCTGTTAACAAAAAGCAAAGAATCTTGACTTGTAAATTAGTCCATATAGTTCATTAGACCTTTTTGAAATGTTAGAAGTGGTTCGAATGATCAGATTCTCACTCTCAGGCTCCGCTGAGGGACCAGGAAACACCAGACTGAGAAGCAATACGTTAGAAACCACTTTCAAGGGCTGACTAGATAACCTACTATCTTTCCCTAAGAGTCAGTAAAAACAGGCTTCTTATTTCTAATCTTTGCTAGCTTTAAATTTAACTTAAGGATTAATCATTTGAAAGGAAAGAAGGAACAAAAACCCAGGTGCTGTTCCCGAGTGAGTGGTCCCTAGAAGGGCCACTGAGGAAAATGATACACTCATGTTAATATTTAGCTAACTCATTAAGGAGTGCTTAATCATGTTTTAGCTACCCACAGACTTGTTTCCTTAGTAAAAGTTATACTTTTTATTTCTACATAATCAACTTACTTCCTCAAAAAGAAGTAAGTATTTTCTAAACCTACTATCATTTATCTTCAGAGCCACCTTCTACGTTTGGTTCACAACATTAATAGTGAGCAGGAAAAGTGACTCAGTGAAGGCAATCACTTCGTAAGGCAGTGGGAAGATACCACCTGGATTCAAAGCCACTCCTTCACTCGGTGCACCACCTCATCCAAAGAATGATAGCCCTGCTACACAGGGATACAACGCAGTGCATAGGCACTGCATTAGGTAACCAACCTCCTCTGGCTCTGGCACGGGCTGCTCAGCAGATAGTGAAACTTTGGTTGAAGGCTCAGGCAACTTCCGTCTCCTTGCTGCTTTTCTGTTTGATGTTTCAAAAGCTGTCTCACTCTTATTTTCAAGCACCAAATCTTCATCACCCTGGTCAAAAACAACAGACAATTTCAGAAGAGATGCTTTTTATCAACTTAATTCACAATGATTATTTCTTTTACCTGGATGGCATTTCAGTAAAGAATACAATGTAAAGTTATAATAAGACCCCCAAAGTTAAGGCATCATCTCTTTAGACAGGAAAACATGGAGCTTAACACCTCACAGATATTACCCTTATCCAGCTCTGGGGTTCTCTCTGATAAATACAAAGCTGAGAGAGAACTTCCATTTTAATTGACCCCAAGTTTTTCCAGAAAAATGGAAGAAAGAAGACAGCCTGGATAATATCCTTTCTTCCATTCAGGAAAGGAAGGCAGTGCAAAGAGTTATGACTTAAAAGCTGTGAAAATAGAACATATATGTAAAAACAGGTCTCTGTAGATGACCATGCAAAACTTCCATAGGTGAATGTAGCCCTAGTATCTTGTTACATATAAACATATTTTAGTTCTCAAATTGAAACTTGGAGCTTCTATTTGAATTACTCACTTTAGGAGGCAAGGATTTTATTCCAGAAATCATAAAGATTATTTTTATTAATATTATCTACTAAAACTTTCCTTAGCAAGATAATTCACTTAAGTGTCAAATTCTCAAATATATACTTATTAGTTCACTGATGTCTTTCTTCCATATTTACTGATATTCTAGAAGTTCTCTTTAGCAGACCACAGTGGACTCCATTTTGGTGGGTAGTTTTCCCCATTCCTTTATCCTAAGAGAAGTTGGTGGAAGGAGCATGGGGAATGGAAGTCAAAAGGTCTTGATGCTGAAAAATTAAATAACCAAACTTAAAACTGCTTCACTGCAAAAGACAGAGCTGGCTCAGCTGATAGGTCCACCTTACTTCAGCTCTAACATTCCAATTCTCATGTTCTTTGACAGTCCTAAGCGCCTTAAGTCATAACACCACCGAAGTTCTACCCTGTCTTAACTTTTTGTTGTCCCCACTACTTAGGTTAAAATATATATTGGGCTGGCCCAAAAGTCCATGACGTTTTTTCTGTACAATGGTTCTAGCAGTGCCCAGATGTCTTTAGTGTCATTAGAAACAATTTTGTTAGATTGTATTGTGGCCACTGTCATGTCAGAGTGCATTTAAAAAGAACTTATCAAAATTGGTGAATTTTGGGGTAGCCATTTTAATACTGAAGATGGAAGAAAATACAGAACATTTTCGGCATATTATGCCTTATTATTTTAATTCAACTGAAATTCAAAAAAAGATTTGTGCAGTGTATGGAGAAGAAGTGCTATGTCTGATCGAACATGTCAAAAGCGGCTTGCGAAGTTTCTTGGTACTATTGACATTTTGGCCAAATAATTCTTTACTGTGGGGCCATCTTATTGCATTGGAAGATGTTTAACAGGACCCCTGGCCTCTACCCACCAGAAGGCAATAGCAGGAGATAGCCGACATATTCAGTATATCCAAATCAATAAAGCCATTGGTGAAAAATGAAAAATGTGTCTTTTATTTTACAGACTTTTGGGCCAACCCAATACTCGTAGTACCATGAAGACAAAGCCCTTTAGGCAAAGGGCAAAATGACCAATTCACATTGTGGCCATTTCAGAAAGAGACATGCTAAAATCAGGCTATCGGAGTCTAACACCACAAAACTGAACTGAAGACATATTCAACTCAGAAGTGAAATCACTACATAGAGCAGCTGCATTTTTTTTTTGCCTATCTTTCACATTAATCTTGTTACCCCCCCTTATTTTATGACATATTTCCCGTTATGAAATGAATAAAAACATTCTGCTTCACTATAAGAATCCTGTTCACCTTTACTGAATCATTTTCTTTACAAGATGGTGAAAGGTGTAATATAAACAGAAAGGAAGTAAGTCTATGGGACAGATATAATCTTATGTCTAAAATCTACAGCCAGTTATTCTAAAACTTAATTCCTTATTGAATATCTTTTTTCCTCTGTAAGAAAAAAAACCCCTGTAAACTTCCATTAGCAAATGACAAAACTCATACTCAAGGATAAAGGAAAAAAAGAGTAAAAGGTTGATTTGGCTTTACAAAAACAGCCAAATGAAATGAATATAATGTGAGCTTATAATATCTTTGAGATCTCTCTTGAGGAAAAGTCTGAACTTCCTCATATAAAACACAGTTATAGTCAACAGTTTTCTTAAAGATTACCTCATGTTAGAGCTTTTCAGGTCTCTTAAGTTTTATGCTCTTGGGGACTGAACCATTCAACACAAATATTCTGAATAAAAATTCATATACAGACATTAATAAAGACTCCTAAAAAGGCTGTATTCACAGTTTAACATCATTGCAATTTTAAAAAATCAATATTCAAAACATAAAATGGAATATTTTCTAACCCCAAGTTTATGACCATTGCTCAACTTCCAGGTTTCACCCGTCATTCGATAAAAACGCTCTTCCAGTTTTTTCAATTTCATTGCTTGGTGAGGTTTTAGAACATTCTCTATGTATCTGCTGGCCTGTTAAAAAAAAATAGTTGTCGTTACTATTCATTAATATTCCTAAGATTTTACATTGTCTATAAAGTTGTCAGTAAAAACCAGGTAAGAAATTGTCTTTTCATACCAACTCAGTTTTGCCTAAAAAGCAACATCCTCCACTTTTGCATTAGTCATTCTCTAAAAATTTGCATTTGTACGTAATGCAAATAAAAACAAATATTCTATACATATGCTTGTATGGCCGTCTGCCTCTATATCCTTTAATGTTTTCAGTGCAACAAAAACTTACTAAGCACCATCCCTCAAAAAGTAGAAACAACCTAAATGTCTATCAGCAAATGAGTGGAAAATCAAATTTTGATAATTCCATACAACAGAATATTATTTAGCCATAAAAAGGAGTGAGGTACTAATACATGCTATATGGATGAACCCCGGGAAATATTATGTTAAGTGCAAGAAGTCAGACACAAAAAGTCATGTTATATGATTACATTTATATGAAATATCCGGAATAAATAAGTCCATACAAACAGAAGGCAGATTGGTGGTTGCCAAAGGGTGGAAGGAGAGGGGAATGAGGAAGTAACTGTATAATGGATATGGGGTGTTAATTTTTTTTCCTTTACACTTAGACCATGAATTCATAGGGAATGGGTTCCAGCAGCACAGCCTCCTTTCCACTACTTCTCAGAAAGTGCGCTGCTCTGGGGTGGAGCGGGTTGGTGCTTCAGTGGAACCTAGGTACCTTTCTCCTTGGCTTCCTACTTTTTCTGGTCATTTGCCTTCACACATTTCAGGAAGCTATTTCAGCTCTTAGAATGCTCACTACAGACATTAATTCCTTGGCAAGACTCTTGCCCTTAATTTGTTTGTTTATAACAATATCCACCACATGCTGGGTGACATTGTAGACTCTTTCAGTGTGCCCTGGAAACATCTGGGGCGCATCTTGAGCAGTGCGCATTCCCTTCATGTCCACAACATCACCTTTCGTGTAGATTTACATGTATTCTGCCAAAAGAACAACTCCATGTTTCCTAAAAGGCCTTGAGAACATATAGCAGGTGCCTATATGTTCTGGCCAAAACGTGGGGTTTTCTTTTCAGATGAAATGTTTTGGAACTAGATAAAAGTAGTCATTGCACAACACTGAATGCTCTAAATGCCACTGAATTTTATGTCTCATGAATTTGACCTCAATACTTTTTTAAAAAAATCTGAGCACAGAGAAAGCAACAGACCTAAATTTTAAATGCTCCAGATATTTTTGTATTCTTTCCAGATATATTCACTAAAAATTATGCTTTACCTTTTCACCCTGTGCCTCTTGTTGTTTTTTTCTCACAAGTTTTTGCCTTTTCTCATTCTCCTCTTCTTCTTCTAAGACATCAAAACATAAAAGTGTTTTTAATTCCCAATTATCAACAAACTGAATGTTATTTTTTCTGAAGAAAAAAACTGTAGAACTTAAAATGTTTTGAGAGACAAGCCTTCAAAAAACAGGTATTTTTCAAATAAAAAAAATGAGATACATACAGAGAGTTGAAACTAAGGAATCTGCGAGTAAAACCAGTAAGGTCTGTTCTGAAACAAGAATTATAATACATTCTTGTATAGGATTCTATGTTATAGATTGGGTGAGGAGGCTTTGAGAATGCTTATGGTGGGCTTCTGACAGCAGGAGAGAGAGAGAGTGTGTGAGCACGCTGATTTTTTTTCCTTATTTGAAGAAAGCCTGACAGTTACTAGGCCCTATACACAATCTTAGTTACTAATTCATTTCAGCATTCAGTGATGTTATGGCTCAAAATTGTCAACAAAAAAAAGTCTCAAAATGATTCACACTCCTGGCAACATAAAGGTACAACTTCAGGTAAGAGGCTGTCAGGTGCATGTTTCCTTATTTATAAAACATGGAATACTGGACCTAATAGCTGAACATCCGCAGCAAATACCCCCTGATACTTGCTGTGTTTAGTACATTTAGTACAAAATGTGTTTCTTAGAGAAGTTATAGTCAGTTATTTTAATTCTCCAATAGAGTAATTTGAAATATAAGTGATCAAATAATTTGTCAAAAGAAGAAAGAAAAATTTCCAAAATCTATGATTCGGAGATGCTAAAACATCTACATTGTCTCCCGTTTTGGGTGGAATAGTGTAAACTTTAAGGACTATGATTTTATTCATAGGTAATCTGAAAGGGCTATAAAATAAACACTAATCATTTTCCACTTATTTTTACATTTAAATAAAACAAAACATAATGCCCCAAATTCACTATTGGCCAACTTTCTAATAGGCTATAAGAATGCAGGCGTAAGTTGTAGGATTCATCTGTTCTGAGGTGAACTACAATATTGTTTTTAAAGGCTTCTGATACTGCCCCAGAAGGGTTTTGTATCACACAAGGAAATGTCTTGGAAAGGGGGGACCTGCTGGTGGCGCGGGTGTGGTCCAGCTGCCAGGGCGACACTCCGGGCTCATCTTTGACAGGCTCTCCGACGCCTTGTGCAGGGAGGCCGACTGGGCCAATTTTGTGAAAATTGTTCACTCTAAGCCAGCATTCAGAGAAGCAGTGGGGGCACCTTATACACGTAATGGCTCCATGATAGAAAACTTGAACACAAATGTGGAATTGTACCAAAGTTTGCAAAAATTACTAGCTGATAAAAGTCTTCTAATATTTCCACATATTAAAAAAAAAACAAAAAACTAAAAACAAGCATGGTTTCCTAAAAATAAGAACACCTAACTATTTATATAAGAGATAAATGCATAAATAAAAAAATGCAAAAATGGAATGAAAAATAATTTAGGATGAAAAGCCTTTAGAGATTAGTGATAGATATTGTTAACATTTGTAGAATATAAACTGTAAGTATCAAACAGCGGTAACCTACACAAATACTCAGTTTAAAATGTGAATTTGCAACATGCCAACTTATAAATTACATAGTTTCTTTATAGTTATATAAGGAAAATATATGATTTCTCATAAAAATGTTGGGATTTATGGTCCATTAAAAACCATGATTAAAGTTGCAATGATTACCTTGAAATTACACTGCACAAATTAAGCGTAAAATGGACCTTATTGTGCAAAGTTCTAGTATAAATCAAGGAAAATCTTCAGTAGAAAAGTATAAAAGGGTAGATAAAGAATAATCTTACCTTTCAGATAAACTTGGGAAGGTTTAAATGAGGTAAGCCATGAAGTAGTCACAGAAATAATTAAAGTAAGAAGAGCAAGCAGTAAGAAAATCCGACCACACAGCAAAATTATATCTTTAATTCCTTATAAAGGTAAAGAAAAATTAAAATTAAAAACACTTGATACTAATAATAAGGAACAACATATTAGAAGATTATTTGTACTAGAAAAGTACAAGTTAAAAGTTAGGTTATGCAACTGTCTTATGATTTTTCATATAGTCTCCTTTAGGCACCAGAATTCATCATGCTTGTCAATACCAGGACAAGTTTTCAGAAAACATTTCTAGAACATCTTTTGTCTCAGGAATATAGGTATAATTCAAGTGGCTGTCTACATTATAAATATTATGGCTATCACTAATGCATAAATTCTGGCTTCCCTTCTGCCCAGAGGAGGTAAAATTATCCACATATTTACAAATTAAATGATGGTGACAGTATCATCTTTTCAAATTCTAGTTCTATTTAAAAAGTCATTCCCACCAAAAAACCAATTTCTTATTTTTCATAATTAAATTATTAAACTGTGTACTTTATTTCTCAATTTGGTCATTTGTAAATAAAATTACTATATACATGTTTTCCTAGAAGAAAAAACTCAGTATTTGGTGTTACATTATTTTAAGAACCCATATGAAAATTAAATCAACAAAAATGTAAAATGCCTACTTTGTGTAATATAATTTGCTAAATGTTGAAGGAAGGAAGATAAAGTTGGGTTAAAAACGGTTTCTACCCTCCTGGAATTCTTAGTTTTGTTTTTTAAGTCTCACATATTACCAGGAAGACATACAGAGAAACCATCTTAACAGTGTGAATGAACTAAACCTTAAAGAAGGAATTATATATACAAACATATATATCTATATTTTTTGCATCATAGCCCCTCCATCTCTGACCGGCATTAACCATTGATTCAGGTGTTGTTCAATGCAACAAGTAAATCTGGGGTAACTGGCCATTACAAAAGAAATGTAATACCTAGAGTACTGGCATTTAAAGAAACCACTTAGTTACGGGATTTATGCTCCATAATATTGATTTTTGTTCTAACAAGCAAGTAATTTGTAAATGCTATATGGGAATATGAAAGAACTAATTTGTGTGTATACCTTTCAGGTAAAAAAATTTTCAATTAAGTTGATTTTTTTTTTTTTTTTGTACCTACTCTCAAGAGCCCATGTTCAGGGCACTTTAAAGGATAACAAATGTGAGGAACCAGCATTAAATTATTTAGCTTAAGTACAAGTGAAAATGTATTGGCAATGAAGGCTTTTTACACAGTAGGAAAAAACAGGGATAATTTTTCAATGTATGTCCAAAAATACAGCCTGGGTGAATGAACAGGTCGGGGAGTTCCACTGTCTCCCCTGGAAATTCAATTAGCAGCTCCAGCTATGAGCATGAGTATCTTTAAGTATTGTTCCACACAAAACTAGCCCAGCAGCTGCTGCACGGGCATGTATGAATGGCTGAATAGACTTAAATACTGCCAGTGGATAATTGCAGAACCAATATGAAGAAACCAAAGTATATGACTATCATGTCAGATGTTGAAAGAGGATTCTAGAAAAAAAGGAATTAAATGAAAATTAAAGGAACTAGGTGGAAATGCTCTCAGGAACCCAGCTGCATTTTCTACAAATTTTGGCCTACTTTTGTTAATTTAGACATTTTGATAGATTCTGGGAAGGCAAAAAATTAAATTGGTCTCTACGCTCAAGAAGTGTATTTCCCCGTGGTCAGAGATGATCCTGTGAACAAATCTCCTGCAGCCTCAGTAACCTCCTTCTCATTGACTAGTGAGTGACTCAAATATTAGCGCAAAGTAGAGATGGATGCTATAAAGGCAAAGGAGAAAAGTGAATTCTGTAATAGGTAAGTGTGACTTCAACATTTCTGTATGTCATTTGGATAAAGGTCTTCTTAGATTCTAATACATCTCGTGTTGAATCAGGCCTCTGGAGTGTCTTCGTAAATTTTTTAAAAGATTTTATCTATCTATCTACCTATCTAATCGTAGAGAGAGTGGGGAAGGGAGGGAGAAAAAGGGAGAGAATGGCTGCCTTTCACACACCTCCAATTGGAGACCTGGCTGGCAACCCAGGTATGTGCCCTGACTGGGAATCCATCTGGCGACCTTTTGGTTCACAGGTCGGCACTCAATCCACTAAGCCACACCAGCCAGGGGTAAAACACTTTTTTAAAACTAAACAACAGCCCTAGCTGGTGTGGCTCTGGATTGAGCGCCAGACTGGGAACCAAAGGGTCTTTAATTATATTCTCAATGTAGGGCACCTGCGCCCGGGTTGCCAGGTCCCCAGCAGGGGGCGCGCGAAATGCAACCACAAATTGATGTTTCCCTCTCTTCCCCTCTCAATCAATCAATCAATCGATCAGTCTTAAAAAAAAACCCTAAAAAACAAAAAAGCATTTTAATTTATTTCAAGCAACATTTCTCGGTACCGGACTTCTTGGGGGTGGCTGAGGGACGATGGAGAGACAAGAAATATTAAGCTGAGTTTCATCATGGTCTCTAACTTTAGAACTAGGTTTACTGGGGGAAATACGTAAACTGATTGCTTATATCTCCAAGAATGAACGGGTTTTCCAGAGGTCCACCATTTTCCTTTTATTGTTGCCTTTATTTTTGGCACTACCAACTACTTGGCGTTATTCTAACCACACGTAGGAGTCATCCTTGAGTCCCTCCTTTTCCTCACCCCAAACAATCCATCAACAAATCCTTTTGGTTGTAAATATCCCAAATCCGCACATTTCATCGGTTATCATCCTTGTCTGGGCCACCATCACTACTTGCCTACTTCAAAAACCTCACCTGCCCCACGGACTCCACTATAGCTTTCTTCCTAAATAGTCCCCACACTGAATCCAGTGACCTTTTTAAAACCTTAAGCCACTTAACCTCCCTACATCCCAATTTCCTCAACTGTAAATGCGGATGACTGTGTAACAGTAACAGCTGCCTGTGGTTGTAATACAGATTAGATGATGAATAAAAATGTAGAAGTAGGCTTATAATAGGTGCTCAATGAATGTTATCTTAAGCCACTCTTCCCCGTAATCTTCCCGACCCAGCCACAGTGGTCTTCGTCCTTTTCCTCCAACACGTCACAATTCCTTTTGTCTGGAATGTTCTTGCCCCGGCTTTTCAAAGGGGTGGCTCTTTATTAAAATGTGTTGCGATTCCTCAGAAGGCCTACATCCCATTACCCTGTTTATTTCCTTTTAAGCATATCAACACAACTTGAAAGCGGTGGCTATGTTTGTCTCTGGATTTTTCTGCGTCTCTCTCCTTACACGTAACACTTCAGATCTGCAGGGACACTTTTCCGCCGAGTGGGGTCCGCCTCCCCAACGCAACAGGGGACTCGCTCCCACAGGAACCCGGCGCCTCCGGAAAGCGGCGCAGGCGCGATGCAGTCTGGGAGTCGTAGTCAAGCCCGGTGCTTCCACGCCACATTCATGGGAAGTTAACAAGGTGTGAGCGCGAAGAGGAAAAAGCGAACACTTACCTAGGTCCGGGATCCCGCGCCGTAGTTCCAGACACAAGAGGGGGAGCGCGGAGAGGATAAAAACGCCAACGACCCCACGGGCTGCCATGGTGGCGGAAGAGCCTCCTCTTCCGGTCCCACCTCCCGGGGGAATGTGGTGTGGCGCCGTTCCCTAGGGCGGGAATTGGGGAGAGCTAGGGCGCAGAGGCGGGTCGGAGCTGATTTGAACTCACTGTAGCTTTGTATTAGAAGAAATACGAGTCACCTCCCCACATCATAGTGTCCGGGGAAGACCGCTAGGACTGCCCGCCTAGCCAAGTCTTGTGAAGGCAAAGACTGAGCTCCAGCCTGGCGGCACCGTGGAGACGAGGCGGGCAGCGCGAGCCCTTCGGCCATGGGACTCTGGAGACTGCGAGGGAGAGCTCTCGAGAGCAGAATCAAATGGAAGAGGAAGTGTACACACTGTTAACGCTGTGGGTAGACAGCCTGGCCCCTGTGTCTTGTGTCGGTAATGGGTGATTGTGGACTTTTGCGTCCGAGCTACCAAGCACCACTGTTTTTGGATGCACCTGTCTTGTCTAACGGTCCTGGCCAGTCCGCAGTCTTCGGTGCCTAAAGATGATTCAACCCGGGGGCTGGCATCTACAATCAGATCCTGAGACCCGCTACCCCTTGTTCTGGCAGCATGTCAGTTTTCCAGTAGGTGTTAATTATTAATGACTTGACCTCACAGTTACATGAGTGTGGACGAAAACGTGGCCACACACTAACGGGACAAGCTCGGGCTGCCTGCATGGCAGCCTTACAAACTGAGACGGAAAGTAACCACATAGGATGGTCTGAAATTAAAACTTTATAACCAAAAGCGGTTCATAGGTCAATTTTTACCTAACGACTGAGCCCGTCTCCTTTTGCACCTAGGATAATGTCCCTGATAACATGCCTTTGGAATAACGAGGTAATTTGTTTTTCCGAACCCCCTGAAAGCTCAACCACTGCACCAGAAGATAGACCACAAATCCCCCTCTTTGTTATCGTGCTAGTTGGTTGAGTGTTAACCATCCGGTACCCGCCTATGTAAAAGAACTATGTGTCTATTCATTTTTATTTTTTTTACCCAATCCCAGGGGTTTCCTCGTTTTGCTTTCTCCCGCCTCCCTAACCTATCACTAGTTAATTTTGTGTAATTAGGTTCCCCCTCTGATTTTGATGTAGAAAATAAGTGGTAAAACTGCCATTTCCTGGAGCATTTTCTCAATCTGTTGAGATTTTTATTCCTGGCAATTGTTATTAGTTTGGCTCAAATAAGCTCATAAAAATTCTTACAGGTTTAGACATTTCTTAGGTGGACATTTCTTTGCCATCACATGACTCACCTGTATGGAGCTTCTGCCAACCTGAAACTCAATTAAGCTATGGAGGGCCACTCAGATTAACAAGATTTCATGCTTTGAATTTTTGTTTCTGACTCATCAGTCCTCCCAACCTCACCCTGCAATTTAATTCAACAAACATTTTTTTGAGCCCCACAATTTTCCTGGTACTGTAGAGATTCAAAGATGTGTACGTTACTGAATTTGTCCTCACGAAACTCAGTTGCATGGGAAAGATAGCCCTGTAAGCAGATGAATACACTACAGTGCCTGAGCCCAGACAGGGATACTCCAGGGTGCTGCCACATCCTACCCCAGGGCTTGGGGGAAGACTCTCCTGAAAGAAATCATGACCAAATTGTGTTGTAAAGATTAGGGTACAACAGGAAGAGTGGGAGTTTAAGTGTAAGAAACAATGCAGAGGAGCTACCCACAGTTAAAATACTGCAGTTTCAATGTTTGAGTGGAGGTGCATATAGGCTGGCTGGACCTAGGACCACAGAGGGCTTTGCTTTGTGTATAGGCTGAGAACTGCATCTTGGAAGTGAAGGTGCAGCACAAGAGGGCACAATCTCAAAATTCACCAGCATACACTGGCAGATGTGCTGTGATTTCTCACAGCAGCTTTATTTCCCTGGTCACTAATGATATTGAGAACTTTTTTGGATGCTTATTGGCCATTCACTTAATCTTCCATTTTGAAGTATCTATTCAGATGTATTTAACTGTATTTGTTTCTCTTTTGTATTAATGAGGTGTAGGAGTGCTTCATGTAGCCTCAATACCAGTCATATGTGAATATTTCTCAGTCTGTAGTTTACATACTTATTTTCTTAATATTTAAATGAGAAGTTTTTAATTTTGAAGACCAATTTTGTCAAATATTCTTTTACAGTCATTGCTTTCTAAGAAACTTTTCCCCACCCTGGGGGTGAAGGATTCTATTTTTTTCTAGAGCTTTATGTTTATATTTAGGATTATGAAATTATTTTTGTATTTTTTTCCCTAAATAATGGGAAAGATGGCTACTTCTGAAAGTACTTCTTCCCTAGGCTCTATTCCCAACAATTGAAAACTTAAATTGCAAAAACAACTTAATTTTCACTTCTCAACTTTTAGAGATATCTTGATGTGCTCTACAAGAATTTCGATTCAGTAAATGTAATTTAATGATGATAGAAAATATTTTGTGGTGAATTTTTAGATTAATATTGTATGTCCTTGTTAACTAGTAATTAAGCGTAAATGTCCTTTAGCTTCCTATCTTTATCCAGTGATCCATTATGCAGGTAAACTAAAATATATGACCAAGGCTATTTAAACTATTTAAAAAACAATAGAAACTATTTCAAACTGGAAACTAGTCAAAACCTCCACAGTAGCTTCAGTGTTCAGCAACCACAGCAACCTCTCCTTGCTCTGACTTCATAGTACTTATTACTTTCTCCATTGATTTGGAATGCCATAAATAAATTATTCTTATATTGTTATTGAACTTTTCATGTATATATTGACTTCTTCCACAGAGATTCTAGTTTAGGAACTCTTATTCATAGTTCCTCAATGGTATCTAAATATGGCTTATAAAAAATATATAGTAATGATATATACCAAATGTGGGCAAGGAGGTGGAAAAAGTAAATGACTCATACATTGCTAGTGGGAAGGTAAGATGGTACAGCCAGTCTGAAAAATACGGCATTTTCTTACATAATTTAACATGTGTTTACCATATGACCCAACAATTGCAGTGTTGGGGCATTAATTCCTCAGATATAAAAGCTAAGTTCACCTAAGAACTTGCAAGTAAGTGGTCATAGCAACTGAGGGGGGGCAGTTTGCCACCCCAAAATGTGCTTTTAGGGGAGATATTTTAAGCAACCGATTGATGTTTCTCACATCTCTCCCCCTCATTCTCCCTACCTTCCCCCCTCTAAAAATAAATAAAATCTTTTAAAATATATTTTTAATGATGACATTATTAAAAGGTGAAATAATTGTTTGGGGTTCTGCTGTTTCTCACAAATCATGCTACTTATGTTGTCGTAAGACTGCCACACTTGAACAGTAACTCAGTTGATTTTTATTCTCATCATTTAATATCTCCCCAAAACTATCTCTTCTTAACTGCCTTAACTACAGTTTTACTTTGGCTGACATTTCTTTGCTTAAAGAGGAAATTTAGATACAGTCAGAATTTTTCAAGTGCTTGAGATATGGCTACCTATTCCCCTTCCCACCTAAATCAGAAGCAGAAAGGAAAAATGCTTACATGAAAATAAAATAATCTAGTCCCAAATATGTTGTGAACCCTTGGTTTCAACACACTACATAGGATTATGTAACTAGGTGATTAAAAGTTCCTTTCTCCTTTGAAACTAGCTGAGTCATAGACTTTTACATCCTTTCATCCTCTTTATGTTTGCTTAATGGAGTCATTTTTTCCCCCAGATTTCCTGGTTGAAGATTTGTCATCTTTGACTCTGGTACCCATCCCCCAATCTGTCAATTTCACTTCTTTATGTCTGTCCAACCTGTTCCTTCCCTCTTCTCAATATTTCTATTACCTTTGCCTCCTATATTACCAGTTTCATGGTCTCCAGTTCACTTCATAGATTTCCTGGGAAACACACCTCTGAAAAATCTCCAGTCACTCTTTATTTCTTTGGAGTAATGTCTAAATGCTTGTGCCTGGTTACAGCCAAAATCTTCCAGGACTTCACCCATCTCCCACGGCCCTCTTCAAGCTGCCTATGGTCTAGGCAGTCTGCAGTGCTCTGCTTACTATTTCCAGTTTTTGCTGGCTGCTTGCCATTCTAAGTTATTCTCTTTGACATGTTTATTTTCTTTCGGTCAGCCTCTCTGTTGGCAGATGAATAAACTGAAACTCAGAGAGGTGAAGTGCCTGTGGTGTGATATGAATCCAAGTTTCTCTGACTCAGACTCAACTCCTAAATACTTGTATCTCTTAAGAACAAGAATATTCTTTCATAACCACAGTACAGTGATCAAACTCAGGAAATTTCACATCAATGTAGTACCATTATATATTATACAAGCCATATTCAAATTTTACCAATTGTCCCAATCCAATTCCATCCAGGATCGAGCCTTAATTTTAGTTGTCGTATTTCTTCAGCCTTTAATCTGGAATATTTCCTCAGCCTCACTTTGTTTTGAAGACATTGATAGTTTTTAAACTATCAAGCTAATTGTTTGTAAAACTTCGCTCATTGTGGGTTTTCCTGAGTGTTACTTCTTGATTAGATTCAGGTTATGGATTTTTAGCAGGACTACGACATAAGTGAAGTGCACTTCTTACTGCATCATGTCGTATGGCACGGTGACACTGTCTCATTTTTGGCAATGTTTAACTTCGGTCATTTGGATAGGGTGGCTGTAGCCCGCTATAAAGGTACCATTTTCCCCTTTGGGTTTGTTTTTATGTATTAGGTAGGGCTACTACATCTCCCAGGCTTGACTGGGTGGCTTAATGTAGTAGGTGTCCTGTAGGGTGCAGTGGCCCAGCCTCCCCTATCACCCAAGCTGGGTACTCAGCGTGGGCCCACTGTGTGGGCTGTGTACACCCTCCTGTTGTAGCTGAGTCTTGACTGCTGTAGGCACATCCAAGGTCAGCCACCTCCTCTGTTCTGTCTGAGGTTGCACAGCATAAGCTACAAAGTGATCTGAGTTGGCTGCTGCTGTGCTGGGCTTGCAGGTGTCCGGGTGAGGCCAGGCCATGAACCACAGCTGGGTGCTGCTAGTGCGGGGCCTGGGGCAATTTAGTGAGAGGTACAGGGCTCACAGAAGCCAGTTGCTGCTTGTTTGGGAGAATTTAGGAAAATCCGAAGCATGGGCCAAGACAAGCCATGAGCATGGAAATGCCATAGGCAACAGCTTGGGCGAGCTTGAAAGGTGGATGGGGCAGGGCTCCAGGGAATTAGCAGGGTGGGGCCAACAGTGTGACCGAGGTTGATGAAGTCTCAAATACGGTGCTCACCTGCTAGCTCTGTGTGGGGCGGGCTCAAAAAAGGAACAGTAGCCTCTGCCAGTGCTTTGTCTGGGAGAGAGTTGCCCCCCAGTTCTCTCCCTGAATGCTAGGCGAGGCAGTTCCTCCCCTTATGTCTCTGGTGCCTTTCCATCTGCTGCCCTCACAGTGAAGCTCAGAGGGCATTAATCTGCATAAGTTTGTGTGCAGGCCCCTTAGTATGTACTGCCAGGGACTCTAGAAGTCTGTCCCCTACAACCTAAATCCCCACGGGTTTTTACAGCCCGAAGATGGTGACTTTTCCTGGCACTAGATCTCTGGCCAGGGGGGACTGGTGTGGGGCTGGAACCCTTTGCTCAGTCCCAATTTTTTTCCACCACAGGAGTGTGGGACCAGCCCTGTTTCCAGCTCTGACCCTCCGAGTCTTGATGTGGTTTCTTCTTTAATTCCATAGTTGTAGGACTTATATTCAGCTCAGTTTCTGACGACTCTGAATAATGGTTGTGCTATAGTTTAAATGCACTATTGACCCAGCTTGTGAGGAGGCCAGCCGCATTTACCTATGGCACGATCTTGATCAGAAGTCTGTAAGTTTACAGCAGGGGTCCCCAACACACCCAGCAAACTGGTATTGTCCACAGCCTGTTGTTAAGAGCAGGTTGCACAGCAGGAGGTGAGCACTGAGCATTACCACTTGAGCTCCCACTCCAGACTTCTCCCCACTGCCCCCCAAAAATTATCTTCCACAAAACTGGTACCCAGTGCCAAAAAGGTTGGGGACTGTTCATTTGAAGTGTATATTGCTAGGTCAGTGGTCGGAGGCTCCCATCTAGTCCATCTTGGTTAGAGCCTAGGAATCAACAGTCCACGTGGTCTGCGTTCAAACTTTGAGAAACATCAACTTCCAAAATAATGGTAGGCAATTCTCCAAAGGCTGGATGAAATAAAAGAGAGCATTCATCTTTCCTCGCCCCACGGGCCTTCACCTACCTCTGCGTGATGCCACCCCAGTGTGGGACCCTGGTGGGGTGATTACGGTGGCAGGGTGATCACTCCTCCTCCCCCCACCCCCAGCTCCTCACTTTGGCGGGGGAAGGTGGCTCGCACTCAGGTGGAAGAGCTGGGGGTGGTGCTGGAGTGGGGGCGTCCCCTCAGTGCCCACCTACCTCAGTCTCAAGGAGCCGGGGCCTGCCTGGAGACCCATTCCGCGCCGAGCACCCCATCTCACCACGCCCCTAGTGCTTAGTCATCCTGTGAAGCCGCGCTTGCCTGCGGCCCGCACCCCCTCCTTCCTAGGGCAACGCCCCGGGGCCGCCCTGCTCCGCGCACTTCCGCGTGCATGGCCTTGCTGCTGGGAGCCCTGCGCACGGGTGCGCGGCAGAGCTCGCAGCAGGTGGCGCGCGCCTTCCCCGGCATCTCACTGTCTCAACCCCCGCCGGCCCGCACACTCGCCCGCGCAATGGCGTGCAGGCAAGAGTCGCGGCCGCAGGGCCCACCGGCCACCTCCAGCGCCATGGCCTACGACTACCTGGTGATCGGCGGCGGCTCCGGCGGGCTGGCTAGCGCGCGCCGGGCAGCCGAGCTGGGCGCTAGGGTCGCGGTGGTGGAGAGCCACAAGCTGGGCGGCACTTGCGTGAGTACCGGCTCCCCCCGCCCCCGCGCTTCTCGCGCCTCTGTCTCTGCTGCTGCGTTTTGATCCACAGCCCCGCTTTCCCTTCGCTTCTCCAGGAAGAGTCTGCGCTCTTTCCCAGTGCAGTCCGTTCCTCCGGGTCTCTAGAATGCGCACGGCCCCCCAGCTCTGCGCTGCGCTTGCTGCTTTACCGCTGCTGCTGAAGGCAGGATCCCAGCAGGTTTAGATGAAAGACGTGTAAAGGGTCGTCCTTTCGGCCCCCAAAGCTAAACCTGCCTCTGTTCAGGCCCAGGTGCCAAAATAGCTATAGCCGTAGGTGATTGAATCTAACGTCCTTACGTCCTGCGTCCTCACTCCTCAGGGTGGAAGAATTTTGTGTTCCACTGTTGAGTTCATAACCAGATCCATGAAGCATATAACTGCATCTGGAACAGTTGCAGGTGGCCTGTGTGCATGGGGAGAGGGGCGTATGTGTCCTTGAGCAAAGAGAATCCTGGTCCTCTCCCTTCAATTTCAGGAGCAGAGTGATTTTTGCACCCCTGCACACTGCACACTGGAATTACCTGAGCAGTTGAAAAAACTGCCTGGGTTCCGCCCCCATGGCTTCTGAGTTCATTGGTCTGAGGTGCAGCCTGGCTGTTGGGACTTTTAGAAGCAACATAGTTGATTCTGAATGTCAGCCAAGGTTGAGAACCACTGGCTACACTGACCTTGATGTAGAATTTACTATTAAATGAATTTTTAAACCTTTAGCTTCTTTTGTCTTTGGGGGTTGGGAGGGAGGCGGCGTATTTTAAAACTACCTAAAAAAACTAGAGTTGTAAGTCCTGTGATTGAAAAACTATCATTTTTTAAAAGTTTTGCTCCTAAGTTATTGTTTTGGCCTTAACTATCACAAAACTTGGGTGAGGTACTGGCTGTTAATATTAAAATATCTCCAAGACTAACCTGGGACCGGGTTCTCTAAATTCCTCTGGAGGCCGATGTTCTACTAAACTGGGAACTCCTTAAGGGCAGGGATGGGTTCCTGTGTTCCTGTGTGTGCGCACCTCCAATCTTAACAAAATACCTTGCTCAATTTGACCTATGCGTGGGATTGTTACAGGAAAGGGAGTCTGGCCTTCAGAGGGTCTTACCTGAGCTGGCTGCTACTGTATGGGTGCTTAGTGCAGTAAAGAAGAGCATGAGTCCAGGTGATTTTTAGAGGACGTTTATTAAAGTTGGGGACAAAGAGCTTTAAAGTGAAACAAGGAAGTACGTAGGCTAGAAGAAGCAACAGGAGAGGGACTAGGTGGGGACACGAGCCTGGGCTGGGCTGCTTTGGCTCACTAAAAAGTCAGAGAAAGGGGACCTTGGGGACAGAGTCAGGGAGTTGGCCCAGGATACACTGCCACTGCCCATTGCTCCCTGGTTGCAAGCGTCATGGGGTCCCTTAGGGTTTAGGAGATGTGTACCTGTGGGGGAAGAGTGGGACAGGGAAGGGACAGTGTGCTCCTGGGAGGGACAGTGTGCACTGGACACAAATTTTGAGGGTTTTAAAAGTCTGGTGGTTTAGAGGAAGTCTTGGGGAGGATTCAGTAGAATATTCATCAGCTTTATGCGGATGTACCAAAATGAGATTTATTGCCTTAACTTCATTTGTCCTTGGGTGTGGTTGGCAAGTGGCAGTAGTTGGATTTCTGCTATCTACCTATCTTCTGAGTGGAGTAGGGTGATTGAAGCTATTTACCCTCTGGTTGCGAAGAAGTTTAAACCATTAAACTCTTAAGTGTCCTTGGCTACAGAAGATAGGATTTACTAGATGGCTGTAAATTGCTTGGCTGTTGAATTACCTGTCTTGGTTTTCTTATTCTGCTTGTCCTGACTTAGTAGCCCGACTCAAAATGAATAAAACTTAATATTGACAGCTATGAAAGAGCTGACTCCTATGTCCAGTCCTCATTTTTCAAGTTCAAAATGAAAGTGGGAATGAGAAAAGGAAAAAAAATCCCTGTTAATTATCTACTTGCAACTTTATACCTTAGTCCAGAGAAACTCAACTGGAAGCGGGTCCCTGCAGAAAGATTGAGGGGTGCCACTAAAAGGTCCCCCAACAACTTGATTACTGCTTATCTTTGTACTGGCAGTAAAATGGCACCAGGTGTAGACCGGTGGCGTCAGACCAGACCTTGGTGCTTGAGTTCTGGCTAAGAAAGAATTCAGAGCCAAGCCCTGGCTGGTGTGGCTCAGTGGATTGAGCACCGGCCTGCAAACTGAAAGGTTGCTGGCTAGATTCCCAGTCAGAACACATGCCTGGGTTGCAGGCCAGGTCCCCAGTTGGGGGCATGCGAGAGGCAGCAGATCAATGTATCTCTCTCACATTGATGTTTCTCTTCCTCCCTTTCTCCTTTCCTTCCCCTCTCTCTAAAAGTAAATAAATAAAAGCTTTAAAAAAATAACTCAGAACTAAGACCCAAACTATAAGAGAAAGTTTATTTAACCCTGGCCAGGTTGCTTAGTTGGTTAGAAGCATTGTCCCACTAAACCAAGGTTGCAGGTTTGATACCCTGTCAGGCCACATACAAGAATCAACCAATGAATGCATAATTAAGTAGAACAAGTGGATGTTTCTCTCTGTCCCTTCCTTTCTCTTTAAAATCAATTTTGAAAAATGAATTTAAAAAAAGAGAAAGTTTATTTAGAAAGTCATAAAGGTAGAAGTGAGCCACAGAAGAAATGGGCCCAGGAAGCAAGTTACAGAGGCCAAAGGAGGGCCCTCCAGAGCTTAGGGGAGAGAGGCCAGGGGAAGGGGCGGGGAACGGCACTGGTGTGCTTGCTGGAGAGAGATGCCTTGGGTCTTCCATCCTAAGGGCTCTTTAAGGGTGGGAGTTCTAGGGGCAGTATCAGGAGACCGTTCAATAAACTAGACATCCACTTCTCAGGCTTGTCCTTTCCGGGTCACGGTCTTCATTGAGTGGTCAGCACCCTGACCGGAGGTCTTCAGTCGATGCCGCTGGTCCCGATGTCAGCCATGGCATCCCTTGTCTGGTTTAGCTGCTTTTCTGGTCCTGGAGCTGAAACACAACTAAGGCCTAGATGTTTTTGATATAGGTCGGAACCTCATTATCCTGGGGGCTTAATGCTTAGCCTAGTCTCCTGCCCCCTCTACCAGGTCCAGACCCCCTGGGCAGTAATATGCTGGGGGAGGACAGGTCACCCTGGGGGCAAGGTCCTTTTTTCCCAGTTTTGCGTGTTGCTAGACACCCTGGGCTTTCCGCCCTGGTGACCTTGCGTACCTGGCCTGTCATCCTTGCTCTGCTCCTGTCTCTGACTACTTACCACATTTGTACTTCATTGCTCTTCTTCCCAATTTATTTCATAATAAGCTTCCTTGTCATTATCTGGTTCTACTGGTAATAATTAAGAAGGTGCTGTCCCGTTTTGTTTTTAGGTTTTTGTTAGTAATGCGAATGCACTAATAGATAAACTACTTCTGAGAGTGAGCAAAGGACGGCCCAGGACAGTCGGTATTTGACGCTGTACTGCTTTGATAAAGAGCGCCTGGCCTTTCTTATCTCATTCTCCGCAGCAACTTTTATTTTCCTGTAAGCATTGATGTTTTGGGGGAAATCTCCATTTTCATAACATTCCATTTGGGTTCTTCTCAAACTGGCTTTTGTACAAGGAAGGGTGTTAGTATGTGTTGAATATGAGAGAAGATATAAGAAACTGGTAAGACATGAGTTTAGATTTGTTCAGATTCCAGTTGTTCGGGTTTTCCTCAGTTGCAAAAATAAACTACTTATGTGCAGGAATTTCCAAGCAGGTGTAGGGAACCTTGAGGCTTTCTGAAGTATATCATTTCATCTGTTCGTGTCTTTATTTCTTGTATTCTAAGAATTAAATTGGAGCTGGCTGAGAAAAAAGGGCAGATACCAACATTTGCAAGACAAAGGTCCCTTCCCTCAAAGAATTTACAATATAGTGGCGATAAAATGTAGACCATCAACCCCAGAGTAAGATGGTCTATATTAATTGCTGCATTAATAACAAATTACAATAGTTGAGAGAAGAGTTGTAATTAATCATTTCTGCCTGGGCACTATCAGATGGTTTCATGGAGATAGTATCTTTCTGCACTTGATACATATTTTTTGTGAGGGTAGAGTCAGGGCAAAGGCCTAGAGACAGGGTATGTTGTGTAACTGAATTTGACTGGAGCTGAGGGTGTCTCTAATAAAAGATGGGGAAGCCAATGGGTAGGTTGTTATGGTTAAAAATGTGAGTTTCTGTTAGTGTCCCTGGAAAGGGACCGGCCCAAAGCAGGTCTGCCACAGGCCAACCAGTAGTGTGTGAATTCTTGAGTCTGTGCACGAAAGATTGTACAAAGCAAGTCCAGGTGATTTGGAGAGGACGTTTATTAAAGCTGGGGACAGTGAAACAAAGTGGGGGCTTAGCACGGAAGAAGCAACAGGAGAGAGAGCCTAGGCAGTGCCCTGCTTTGGCTCCTAGAAAAGTTATAAGAAAGAAGTGAGCCAAGGTGGGGCTGCTGTCAGCTCCCTGGAAAGGCAGAGAAAAGGGGACCTTGGGGACAGGTTCAGGGGGTGAGCCCAAAACGATCTGCCCAAAACGATCTGCCTGTCGCTCTCCTGGTTTCGAGTCTCATGGAAACCCTTAGACTTTAAGAGAGAAAGGTAAAGGTGCACGCCCAAGGGGGAAGGAAGTCATGAGTGTGCTTGTCTTGAGGGCTCGTACCTGGTTTCTAAAGGTGGGTATTTTAGGGGAGGATCGCAATAGAATATTCATCAGCTTTATACTGAGGTGCCAAAATGAGATTTATTCCCCTGGCTTCATTTGTCCTTGGGTGTGGTTGGCACAAATGGCACTAAATGAATTTCTGTTACCTATCACACCTGAGGTTAAGTTAATGAGGTGTCTTTTGGGGGGGGCTGGTTGGCAAGGGATCCAGCCCTGTGATTTCAGGGTTGGCATTTCCTACCTCCTTGACCTCTGGGGAGGGGAGG